CGTATGTTCATCACGACTCGTCCTATACAAGTAATATAGATTGGTTATCTGATATCATGAGGTGATGGCTCTTGAAATTTTATATAGTTGCATAAATGAATTTTGTAAGAGGTGTTGGAGGAATGATTTAAGAGTTTGTGGGGATAGAAGAGAAGGGAGGTTATATTTGTAAAGAAATTTGTTAAAACATATCTTCTTAGAAGGATGAGATAAATTGGTATTTGAGGAAATAGAAGAAAGGTCTTTTGCAAAAGCACTCACTATATGCCTAGTTCTTATGCCTGTGCAAGAGGCCAAAGTCTGCTCTGTATATTGAGTCTGACTATTATTACTTAGCCCTTCCATGTAAATAGGCTTTTCTGCCCACCCACCTATATCATTCTACTCTAAGAATGGCCCACAAAAGGTGGAGGACATCATAATCTCAGAGGCAGCAGCTGCTTTTATATATTTTGCAGAAGACTTTATTGAAAAGATTGATGTGTATTGAGAGGTTGTTGAGATTCTTTGAGGTTAAAGGATTGGTTTGGGAGTTTTCGTGAACTAAGAAGAAGTGTATAAGAGATAGTTGGCTTGATGATTTTATAATAATTAATAACAAGCTATTCTGCTTGAGGAAGGTGGTGCTCATTATATTGGATGCGGATTTGTGAGAATGTTTGTCTGGGGTTTTTGAGAATACTAAAATAAGATATTACACTGCCAATGAAGGTGGGGTCTGTGGTTTGTTTGAGGAGTTTGCTAATAGATTCATCTTGTGATAGGTTGTAAATTTTGTCATTTTTGGCAACTATTTAAGATACTTATTGAAATAGGTATAGAAATAGAATGTATTAATTCATTCCAAACCATATTTTCCATGATTAAGTAAACGAAGATGTGGAATAGCGCTTAGCGACTTTAAAAGTATACTGTGAAAAAAGGTGGAATGATGACAAGCCTTTATTTAATTCCTAAGTTTGGTTCCGAAACCGTAAAGCTATATTCGTTCGTTAGAAAGTTAAACCGATTTAGAAAGCGTACGATTAAAATTTCAAAGCGATCAGACGGTTAAATTAAATCAAGCAAGAATGTAATGAATTGGTAAAAGTTGTACAACACATTTTATGGCTTGTGAGAGCCTTATCCGAGATTGTGATAAAAGTTATTGTTATGTGTTTCTAAGTTAATTTTAATTTTCATAACAAACTTATATACATTCGACTATTTTAAACTGTTTAATAAACTCCAAATATAGTAAACGACTGAGAGATCATATTATGAAAGAAAAAAATATAAAATGCATACGTACTTTATATTTATAATAAGCAGCCAAACCATTTGAAAAAAAAATTTCATATTTGATTAATTAAGATCTTGTATTTTACGCCTTGGTCTAATTCATGGTAGGTCTGCTGCGCACATTTACCAGTTGTATTAGATATTGCTTGAACATCTTAGTATCTAGTACTAATTAATAAAATTAAGTGTTTAGAAATTTGGATACTTGGAAAATTCTCACTGAAGCGAAAAAGTAGAACGATTGATGAAGTTAGAACAGTTATGATTATGAAGCAATCAGGATGAAAAATTGAAATTATAACTTTACCCGTAATACCCTTCCAAAGAGTCAAAATCAAAATCATAAAACATTTGAAGATACGAAAATTAAGGTTAGTTCTGACCTTAAAAATAGTGTAAGCTGTGATAAGAGATAAGTATAAGAAATTTAGTTATTTTCAAAAAATTAGTTGATATGTATAATTCTTTTAAAATGCCTCAGGCCATTTACACTTGTCAAAGTAGAATAAAGTCAGACAGAAAGAAGATATCAATTTAAAAACTAGACAGAAGTATGCGATAAGATAATGGAATCTATGAATATGAAAGATGAAACAATAAATAGAACGATTAATGTGATCAGTGTCAATAATGTGAAGGATGAATGGATTTCTTATAACTTAGGTTTTCTAATTGAAAATTTAATATTTAATAATTCAAATCGACATACGCAGCATTATTTAGAAAAAAATTTTTTTAACAGCTAACTGACTTCTTTCTATTCTCATGTAATCTTAGATACTGATTTCTTGTAATACAGTATTTTTATATTTTTTACAGGTTGTTAGATCAATTCGCGTGTAAATCAGCATTACACCTTTTGGTAGTGATTGCTGGGTGTGTAGGTTTTTCGATATAGATATCAATAATATGTATTAATCCCTAGATAGATAGAATTAATTTAGGGATGCAAATTCGCTATATTGAAATTTTTATGAAGTAATTTGTGCAGTACAAGTTAGCAAAACATGAAAAGTCGAAAAAATAAAATAATTCGCTATGTTCAAGAAAATGTGATGTATTTTAAATGGTGAACGCAAAATTATAATTACTTTGTTAAAATATTTATACGTTATTATCCACTTCGCAGATAATAACTGATTTACTCCCAGGTTCTTATTAATTACGTATTTCATAAAGTTTAGCTTTACTACAATCACAAGGCTCTTTTCTTTAGTTGACACCTTTGGCATTTTTCACTTAATAATTAAAAAATTTGATATATGGGGTTGAGTCAATAGAAACCAAGCAAATATGTTTTAATTAGTTTTTTAAAAATTTTAAACAAGAATAACTTAACAAAAACTTGATCAAATTCAATAAAATTTTTTTTTAAAATAATTCTACAAGTTTGTAAAAATTATTTAAAAAATTTTTTATTAAATTTGGTCAAGTTTTTATCAAGTTATTCTTGTTTAATGTTATAAAAAAATTTTATTATAAAAAATTTGCTTGATTTCTATTGACTCACCCCCATATATTGAAAAAAGTAGTATATATTCAAAAAGAAATAGAAAAATTCCGGATCAGCCGAATTTGAGACCTGGGCAATAAGCGAGAAAAATAATATAGAAGTATAAATAGGAACCGGAGAATAATTAATTTTTTATTGATTGGAATCGGATATTGTACAATGCAAAGTGATAAAAACTAGATGGTGCGGCTTATATAAATAATACACATGCCTGATAATAGTAAACTTTTATTTTATTTTTTTACAACAGATTAACACTTATCCGTATTCCTTAGAACATAAATATATGAGGTGTATTACCATGATGAAAATGGATATTTTTTTTGTTCAGGAAAGTGGGGACCATATGGGACATCATATTATATTCTACAGTTGATATATTCGAATGCTATATTCCAAACCTACAGCCACTCATTTTTATAAAAGGTCGGCAGATATGAACAAATAAAGATGATTCGAAGTGGTAGGATTGCGTGTGAATTGCAACTTGAAGAAAAATTTTCATGTACAAGCAGTTCATTTACATGGAACTTTGGCAAAATTACGATATAACATTTGTGCAAATGTTTTTCCTTTTACACAGTAATATTGTGATAATTTCGAGCTAAATGAAGTGCCAAATTGCTAAAAAAAATGTAAATTCATAGGATATTATTTATTACTGAATAAAAAGTACTGTAATCAAACCAAGTAGGAATTTTTTTTAGGCCAAATAAACAAAACACCATAACCTCCGTCAATTTTTGCTTTAAAATCGGGTGTGTTGCTTTTATTATAATCGACAACACACGTTAGTTTATTACTATTGTTTTTTTATTGATTATATTTCCAATTGGTAGACTTGAAATTATTATCGATTAATTAAATACAATTTAACAGTTTTTTCTTAAAATACCAGTGCATGTCTCATAGAGACGATAGACTGCGTCTTAATAAATGTTTGAAGTATTCAAAAATTATAGCAATATAGTTTATACTGATCATTTCATTAGTTATAAAATTTCCAACCTTTTTTGCGTAATATTCGAAACATCAACTGATTTTTGAAGAAATCAATAAATTGACACTTTTCTTTATAATAAATGCTATTATCATAAGAGTCTTCAGTCAGAAAACTTTGAATGCAGCATCGGGAATATATAAAATTAATTCAACTCTGATATCATCAAGAATGCTGGAGGTGCAATTAGAGCCATTGGATATGCAGCTCAACCATGTCTCTGATCTCGACTGTCACAACTAGTGATGCAGGCGAATCGTCCCAATAATGCCGTAATTATTTCTATAATACGTAATAATTATAATAAGTTACAGCATTTTTTGCCTTGACTTTATTATGCTACGACAAGTTATTAAATATTTACATATAATAAAAATATCTGTAGCTCCTTAATGGACCGTGTGACTGCTGCTGAGGTGGATATTATGGTTTTAGATGGGAGGAAAACCTTTTTCGTGATATAAATTACTATAAAACTTTTTTAAAATTTGATTTGTTGTGTGATGGAAAGGATAAGACAATTCAACTAACCTATCGTATTTAAAAGGTTAATACACGATAATTCAGTTTAAGAAAATTTTGAATCGCTTATTGCGAATTTGAAGCCACTATGAATGATTTACAATAACTCCATTTAATGAGAAATCGACATATTGACTCTTAAATCTGCCCTTGAGAAAATGCCAATATAACCATATGTTAATTGTCATAAACCTAAATTATTTAGTTTTTTGAAACTATTGGCGGTGATATCGTTGACGCTAATCAAAATAGTAACGTCATTCTAAAAGAAGGTTTAATTATTAAACCCAATTGAGCTATCAAAATTCTGCTACCAAAAATATTAGAGCAACCGAGATTGATTCGAATGAATTAGACGATCCTCCAATTGGAAAAGCTACTGATACACATGGCAATGAGAAATCAACACTTATTAAGAAGTCAATGAAGCTATTGAAGTCACATGCAAACGTACAGAAATTATAGATGATGGCGCACCTGAAAGCAGACCTAATTTTCCATATTATTAATGCTAAAGGATTTAAATTTTATGGTTTTTCAAAAGTTTCTGATTATCAAGTTTGGTTTTTGAATGAGCAGAATTCGGCACACTCAAGAGTTATACAATAAGGTTCAAATAGTTCTTGATATCTGTCGTGAAATTGTATTTATGCATACTTGTGAAATTTTTCTTTATAATATCAGATGTGTGAACATTTTAGTAAGTGATTTGAGATTAATATTTGTAACAATAACAATCATAATAATATCAACTATAACAGTATTATACTAAAATAGAAGACTTCACGATTCGAACCGAAAATTTTAAATTTAAATACGTATGTTCATCACGACTCGTCCTATACAAGTAATATAGATTGGTTATCTGATATCATGAGGTGATGGCTCTTGAAA